TCAGAATTTTGTGCAAACATTGCTCTGTTTCCGAAATCTAAGCCATCATAATACCACAAATTTGCATTAGTGACAGGGTAGCTCAGAAACATGGTAGTTATAAAGTCAATTTAACCTCAGAATGTGCACCATGCCCCTGGCAACTGCATACTCACAGTGGAAACTGATTAAAACTTCACAAAAACAAGGGTTTTCAGTACTTTTTGGACTCAAAAGTCAAAATCCCTAACGAGTAATCTATAACGTAACGATTACTTGATTGATAAGGAATTATCGATCGATTACCGAGTAATTGGTATAATCGTTTCAGCCCTACTTTCTTTGCTTCAAAGCAAGTTGCTTACCTTTCTGTTGTGCTCCCAGTGTCCTTACAACAATAACCTACAGCAATGTTTTATTTTCCTTTCCATTCCCCAACCAATGAATACTACAATGTCGATTCTATTTCTGAATACTTTAGTGTGTGCCCGCGCACGCACGTAACATTGTATACCTCACTCGCCACTCGAAGTTCTGTTCCCCATTACTGGAACGCTGCCTGTTCTTTCAGGACCTGCCATCATCTGCGGATGGGCATCCAATGATTGTATTGTGTGGGTGTGTGTGTTTCATTCAGAATCAGATCCTCTATCGTTGCTATAAGAGAAAACCTGTGGGTTCACATCCAGTGCATTTGTAGATTTGCGTGCTTTTCTCGCCACGGGCGCATACATGGGACATTGTGTGTGTGTGTGTGTGGTGTGTCTGTGTGCACAGGGACATTGTCTGTATCGGCTTTTGGTACTAATGTTCAGGTCTGTGCTTGCATGTGTGAACATGAAATTGTTCGGTTCTGTGCATGCTATTGCTATGTTGTATATTATTGTATGTATGTGTGCATTTCCACGAACAGTGTAGATGAGTGTGGAGAGTGCATTCATCCCTCATCAACCACTTCCCCTTGGGCTTACGAGAGTTTTTTTCTGCGTACCTCTCATTTCTGTTTGTTTCTCTCTGATACTGTATTCATGCCGGTACCTGTACCTCGATGTCACGGTTCCTCTATCTGCAGTCGCCTTTATCCTTCGGTCAAGTTAACGTTTGTTGTGCTCTATTTATCGTGCGAATCAAAATAAACAATAATAACACAGGTCATGCTAGAGTGACGACATGTACGTGTAGTAGGGTTGATGCGATGGGACGTATAATTAGGTGGAACAGAACACACATTGGGCAGATTGATTGGGCATCATTGATTGTGCTCAGTCTAAACAGTGAACATAATAATTATCTCCAGTGACAGACTGTAGCGGCTAGCCTCTAATAGGTAGCTGGCACTAGTCGCTACTGCTTGTTTGACAGTTGCCGCCAGAACCCCTGTTGTGTCATGCTATAGATGCACATGCCCTATTCTGGGGCATACTGAGGTACTTTGATTTTGTTGACTGCATGTAGACAGCATCCAATAGTACGGTACTCGTAGACCTTGGCTCTTTGTAGGTCAACCACCATTGCATGGATCGATCAGTGACTATGCACTTGGAGGTTGGAATAGCCCGCGCTGAACAGATCTTGCCATGGCCCAGGGAGTGAACTCGCTTACTCGACTATCCCGGTTTTAGTTAACCAGCATGAGTGGTGCAATTTGTCCATACCATGTTGCGAGCTCACAGTTGTTTGGGCAGGTTTTGAGCTGCACCACGAAACAAAGCGAAATAACGGCGTGACTGTAGAGCAAGGAAGCGGCGAGACGGCACTTCCAGGACGAGACAGGCAGTAGACATGTGTTCACAGCACGAGCAACCTCTCAAACCCTGCCGGTACTCCACAGTTACAAGAAAATGTCGGACTGGACGACGCGCCTATGCAAACCTGCTACATCCACCCAGGCAGATAGCTGCCAAACCAGGCCAATGTCGACCCACTGCATACCGGTATGTCAATGTCAAACAGATCCTACAGGAGAAGACTGGGATGATATTGGCGTCCAGTGTACGGACACCAGTTACATTTCCTGCGTCTTTTGCAGCATACAGGATAGACTCATCACTATAAAGTCCACTACTTCGTGATTTTTATTAGTAGAATACATGACAGGCGTATTCAGTGTCCCTCGCAGGACTGCGAGATGCTGCAGAAGACCAGGTTCGACCTTTCTGGACGGCCATTCACCGACGGTGGGCTACACGATGCTGGAGGAACTAGATTCCAGTGAAAACCCAAGATTCCTTTGCTCCTGGACGCTTCGACGTGTTGTGATATCTGCCAGGTGCGCAGTAACTAGTATTTTCATCGCTATAGCGAGGACGACGCCGATCGGCAAACTCTCGCTCACAGCCATCACCAGCCTCTCAAAACCATCACTTGGCATCCCCCAGAGGTATAGGAGAAAGCCAAAACAGCTCTCAACAAACAAAAGCTAAGGACGATGGAAAGAGAGCATGTCAAAAAGAAGACGAACAGTATGAAGCTCAAATGGGTTTGAACACTCGTACCACCAACTATACCACTTTCAATAAATCGTGACGCCATTTTGTTTTAACACGCATACGGTCCATTGGACGTAACTTTAGTTTGCACTGGGCAAATTCCACGGTCTTGGGCATCCTGGAAAGGCCTTGACGAGAGGAGCGCAATGAGCGTACACTCGACTCTACGGGCTGCACTGGCCCACCGCTGCAAGCCAGGGAAGGCCCACCAACGCTGGGTTCACGCTCAAGATCTATCTCTATCCACCATTTCACTCCTGCTGCTCGTATCAAACTTAAATTTTTTCGTAGAGACTCCCGGGAACACACGTTTGAAGTTGAATCGATGTAGCCTTGTCAACAGGTGACGTAAGCAGGGAAAATCCCGGCCGTTGATCCACACATCTCATTTTCATTATAACTTTCAAATTTGCTTTCATGTTATAACTTATTGGGTTCTATGCTTGTTTGAATTTGCGAATCAAAATAAATACAAACAAACAAACAACAAACCTTCCACGATGCGCAACATGCAACACCTGCGATGAGATGCAAAAGCGACAGACGATTCATAATCTGTTTTGTTTCTGTGACATCTAAGGGCAGTGCGTAGTACCCTCACGTGCACCCAGCCTAGTGAACTGCACTCCGTTCGCGCACAACGCGCTTGGCAAGACTTGGCCGATTCACAATACAACTTACTTCTTGCGACGCAACATTAGACTTGCGACACATGCGACGAGCTGCGACAGCGATACACCGTTCACAATATTCTTGATGTTTGTTGCGATATCTGGATATCCTCATGCAGGTAGCAACAGGAGTGCATATTATACCCCATAATATGTACTCTTCGTGGCAAGAGTCTATTTTGTAAGCAACTGCCTGGATTGCATTTGTCAGTGCCTTCACGCCATGCAGTGGTTGGATGTACAAGTTCCTGCATGTGTACCATACGCCTGTAGGGAGTAGTTCGAGTTTCTGCTGATCGCTGTGCTCTGCCTCCCCGTGCAGTTCAGTAATCCTCACGTACTATCAAAGATGTATACATGGTGTTCTCTCCCCTTACTCCCGCCCCCCCCCCCCCACCCCCGTTTACTCGAATATTATTAGTATCATTTTTATTGGGTTGTCATCCCGTTTGAATGTGTGAAGTAAAAGAAAAACCAACCAACCAGAGATACATGTGCAGAAAAAGGTTGAAAAGATGATAACAATGAATTAATGCTAGAAATAGTGATATTTCTTCCTAGTAAAAAGAGGAACAGCGCTAGAGGGAAGTCAAAGGGTGCAACAGTAGGAAATGTGAGCAATATTGTTATGAACATACTCTAACTCAAATGTTGCCAATGATGGAAAGGCAATACATGTATCAGCAGCAGCCTGGTCTGAGATGGCCTATGTGATCGCGTATTGTGGTTGCGTACAACGGGAAATTTCAGGGACGAATTTCTCTTGTCAAGCATCTGCTGTGCAATCGATCCTGGTATTTCCCAAAAATTGGAAAAGGTTTTTGGACTCGCGTGGAGAGCCAAGGGTTAATTAATATGAAGAAAAGAGGCCCAAAGAGTTACAAAGTTACGTTATAATATCCACAAACATCGCCAATTACTTTACGGTCACCTCATGCGATAACACTACACGACACTGACCAACGATACTGACGTTCTACAACTAGCTGGCAATCAGCTATAGCACATCTCGGATATGCATTCCAACAGCCTTCAAACTTGGAAGGTTCTAAGTTATAGAAATCACGTAAGGAGGGGAAGGTTAACGCAACCAAAACAAGCACCAGCTAAAAGTCTCAGCTGTGAAGGACGTTGGTGGATGTACATGTATGTCGAGGACTAGACCGGTCGGTAAGACTATGACAAAACGGTCAAACCACGATTCGCAATCCAGATGTGCTAGAGATGTTAGCCAGTTAGGTCTAGAACGTCAGTACCGTTGGTCAGTGCCGTGCAATGTTATCGCCTGATCTGACTGTAAAAAAATAATTGGTGGTGTTAGTGGATATCATAGCGTAACTTGTAGCTCTTTGGTACAAATTTCTTCTTATACAATGTTTTTCGTTTTGAGTTAGGACTTCTCACTCAGATTAAGAGGACATGAAACCAAGCGTGCGCAGTTTCTGACCTTACTGCATGGATATCTATCACGAACTGATTTCTGGATTGCATCATAATAATAATTGGTGCATACAAAACCGCTGGCAAGAAGTCCCCATTATTTTATCGCCTTTCCGCGTTTCGCACAGCTAAGGGAAAATTCAAGCTAACTACTATTTTTATGGATGAAAGGAAAGGACAAAACGAGTTATTTTTTTATGCTTCAGATGAATCATAGCATCGATTTCCGCCAAATTAAGTGCGAAATTTGCAGATCCGTAAAGTGCATATCTAGTGCGTACACTACAGAGTTTTAGTTATCACGAGGGAGACCTGCTTGAATTCTGCTGGAACGAACTTCTTCATATATCTATGCAGTTCACTATCCTGTCACTTATCGTTCACTACACAATTCCTCGCATTCCGCGACGTATAAAATTAATGTGTCCCAGTGTTGCGCGAAGACCAAAACATGGATGCGGAACATGCATTTAAAATTGTAAATCGACCTTCAACAAGGTGTGTAAGTGGGAGACTTTGCACAGTGAAATGTTGCTATGGCAAATTTGCTAGTTTTGGAGATATCGCGATGGCAGGATTATCTGCCTGTCAGATCTATATCGACTTATCAGATGACCAGACTGCTGCACAGTGCACACACAGAACTATCATGCTATCATCTATAAACCAAAATCAAAGCCATCCAGCAGCGGCTTGGTACCGGTATACCCCGAACGCCGCCAGCTGCGATATCGCGGCGATATATCGCGGCGATAGTTGCCTTGACTCAATCCAAGTAATGATGTCTGTTAGTTACCTGAGGCAACAAACAAGAATGTGGCAGCGACATTGAACAGAAGTAAAACTATTAGGGTATTATAGAATGGGATGCATTGCACAGGATTGAAATAAAAGAATGAAAGGCTCATAATGTTCCCATTGTATTTAGTTGTGTTCGTCTTGATACCTTGGCGTTTCCTTTTCAGGGGAGTGGTACAAGACATAGGAAGAGATCTACCTCAAATGAACAATTTAGAGGTAAGCCAACGGCCAAGTTCAGCCGGAATCTCTTTGTACATTTTTGTAATATGCAGAAGGGCTTCAAAGAGCAACTGAGGAAGGCGATAGGGAACACATTCTATCCATGTTCTTCTACCACATGGACACTGGCTTTTCAGGCTTAGAGAATTTTCCTATAAAACGCAGTTAGTGCGAGGGTGATCTAAGTTATTTTCCACGCTTACCGTCTGTTGGCAGAATGGCATGCAGACTTTGTGTGTTGCTCCAGGAAAGAATTCGTCCTTCTGATCACTGGATAGAGTAGTTGCAGTGAATGCACCATCATCATCTATGCTCAGGACATGGCCAGCGTTTGTACCATGCAAGAATATACTTCGAAAGCCCTTCTCTGGTTCGTTTGCCAGAGACTGGGTGAGGATTTGCTGCAGGCAAGGAATGTCCATGGACGCTGGCAAACGACTGTCAAAACCGATTGTACATCGTTCGAAATGAGTGTGGTAAGTTTGATTCATATCTGGTTCTCGGTGAATGAAGTACTTGGAACCGTCCGGTCCTGGGCAAGTGCTCACTGAAAATGTAAACAGATACGGAAACAACAAGGCAACACGGTTTACGGCTTGTACACAACAAATTAGGTAAACAATCAACATTAATAACTCCTGTGATAGTCAATGTATGGTGAATTTTCAGGAGGTTAGTGCGAGTGTGGCCCTATCTCTCTCTTTTTCTTTCTCCATAATTATATCTACCTCCCTTTAATCTCTATCTCTATCTCTCTATATCTATCTATCTCTATCTCTCTATCTATCTCTTTCTATCTCTATCTCTCTATCTCTTCATCTCTGTATCTCCTATCTCTTTATCTCTTTATCTATCTATCTCTCTATCTACCGTAAAGTCTTGTCTAAAAGCCTTCTATGACTTTCTTGGTGAAATTTTGCAGGCTTCTATATGAGACAGGCTTCTTTACAAGACAGATATTTCTATATATGTCAACCCTAAAATCCGGTTTATGTGTGATTTGATGGGCCCAAAATTGCGGCTTCTATACGAGGGCGGCTTCTATTCAAGTGCGGCTTTTATACGACTTTACGGTATCTATCTATCTATCTATCTATCTATCTATCTCTGTCTCTATCTCTTTATCTCTATCAATGGATATAGTGTTATTTTTCAGATACTTCAGCGAACCTGCGGAATGGAAAGCCACGTAATAACCACTGGCAGTTGGGTCCCTTGGTAATGCAAACAGCAATAGGGACACGAGATGGAAGTTGCCGATCGTTATCACCGGCCAGCGTTCCTATTTCATTCTCTCTATCCCTCCACAATTACTTTGATTTGTAATTGATATTTTCATGCAGTTTTTTCCAAAAACAAGACAGTAGAAATACTTACGTTGTTGACACAGCGGAAGACCTTCTGGAGTCTTGAACTCTCGCCATTCATTCGAGACACATCTGGCTTGTCCAATGGCCATGTAACCGCTATCGCAAAGAGGATAGCCCGCCTCAAGATGTGCAACCTTGTGCATTACGCCATTAGGAATAGTAGTTTCAAGGCACTCGGCCGCTGTAAAAACGATAAAATGGAGGACAGATTTCAACCAATCGGGAAGAGCAAACCTTTATGGACTGTATGGATAGGTGTGAGTAGAATCATGCCGTCCAAATGACATGAATTCAGGAACCTCCCTGAATGAAAGTTGAAGAAAATGCTTCGTTCGTCTATTCAACCTAATTTTCGTGAATCGCACGACATAAAGCTACAAGCGGTTTATAGAGCAATTCGGGCGCTCAGCACAGCAGCCTTGGTCGATAATTGAGGTAGAAAACAGGCATATTAACAAGCATATTATCTTGATCAGGGGCGTAGCGTAGCCCTTTTCAAACTGTTAAGAAGGTCATGTGACGTCATACTTATAGTGTACAGAAGTCCCTATTTTCATTTTTGCAGCCAAGGATACTGGCTCGTCCAGCTTCTTTTATTTTGAATTTTTCTGTAAACAGCACTCTCATTCAGTAGACTACATGTACATTATACATCATTCTCCTTTGATCTTAAACTACAGTACATGTACCATTGGCTGCTTCTTACACACGTTTTGCAGGAGGTTACGACATTTAGACTTGCAGACGTGCTTCTTTTCCTCGGATTGCAGAGAGCAGCAGTTGGACCAAAAAAGAGCGCAGTGTAGTCAATTCACACCAGGGAGCAGTAAAACACCAGTACTTGCTACTAACTGCTTCACGTTCACACTCAGCTCCCTTCGCTCCGGTCACACTGCTGTTTTACGGTTTGCAAAGGTACCGACAATGGCCGCATGTACAACAATTTCCACGACTGACATACATGTAGATCTAGAAAACATGTGTGAAGGATCTACCCGGCACCTTTACCTATACAAGTCCAGTCCACGCATCGACACAATCATAGATATGATGAACGTTGAACGCAGGCACTCTGCGATACGTATTATCCTGTTTTGCGGACATTGTACGGCAAACTCTAGCTGCTTTGTTTGCGAGTTTTGCGATACGGCGTTACACGCCTGTCGATAATCATTCTTCTATATATTGTAAATTGAGAACCCCCGACACAAGCGTTTGTCACAAAAGGTCATTTTTCTTTCTTACTGACCGGTTTCATCTTTTTAAAGAATCATCAGAGTGAAAGGAGAAAAGAAAATACATGCTATTAGTAGGGCCAACACACTTGGCCACAACTAACTATGATACAAGTGGACCCATCAAAGCCGCTGGGAGCCCAAATAGGCGCAGGGGTAGGGGTAATTGGATTGTGATCATGAAAGCATGCAAATGTGAAAGGTGCCGTGTTGGGACTATAGGATACAAATTTTGTTATAATACAGTACACGGGAAGTTTTGGCAGTGTCCAAATTTGGACACTGCCAAAATATTGTAAATTGAGAACCCCCGACACAAGTGTTTATCACAAAAGGTCATTTTTCTTTCTTACTGACCGGTTTCATCTTGTTAAAGAATCATCAGAGTGAAAGGAGAAAAGAAAATACATGCTATCAGTAGGGCCAACTCACTTGGCCAAAACTAACTATGATACAAGTGGACCCATCAAAGCCGCTGGGAGCCCAAAAAGGCGCAGGGGTAGGGGTAATTGGATTGTGATCATGAAAGCATGCAAATGGGAAAGGTGCCGTGTTGGGACTATAGTATACAAATTTTGTTATAATACAGTACACGGGAAGTTTTGGCAGTGTCCAAATTTGGACACTGCCAAAATATTGTAAATTGAGAACCCCCGACACAAGCGTTTATCACAAAAGGTCATTTTTCTTTCTTACTGACCGGTTTCATCTTGTAAACGAATCATCAGAGTGAAAGGAGAAAAGAAAATACATGCTATTAGTAGAGCCAACTCACTTGGCCAAAACTAACTATGATACAAGTGGACCCATCAAAGCCGCTGGGAGCCCAAAGAGGCGCAGGGGTAGGGGTAATTGGATTATGAAAGCATGCAAATGTGAAAGGTGCCGTGTTGGGCCTATAGTATACAAATTTTGGACACTGCCAAAACTTCCCGTGTACTGTATTATAACAAAATTTGTATGTATTTTCTTTTCTCCTTTCACTCTGATGATTCTTTAACAAGATGAAACCGGTCAGTAAGAAAGAAAAATGACCTTTTGTGATAAACGCTTGTGTCGGGGGTTCTCAATTTACAATAATAAAAAAGAGGGACGGAGCCGGTTTCAAAAGGTTTCATCGCAATCGCTTCTGCCAGTACGTCCAAGCTAAGAAGATGAGATCTAACAACGTAGCAACAATTACATATACAGTGCTGGCAACTGAAATCCGACCCCTCCCTAACATCGCAACGACCCAACACGCAATTGCAAAACTACGAAAAAGAGACCGCCAGAATGTGAACGCACGGCCCAGGGGGGGCGGATTTCAGTTGCCAGGACTGTCACTGCCAAGCAGGTTGTAGAAAGTCACGAGCAGCATCAGGATCCTTTGCAATTGACATTTCCGCGCAGAACTCAACCAAATAATTATAGGAGCAATGCAACACTTACCTTCGCAGGAGTAAGTGCCTTTCTGGTTTTGACACCGAGTTCCATTCGGACACAGGTTAGCGCCTCCATTTGAACATTCATCAAAATCTAACAATCCAATCAGAAGCGTACAGACAAACGTGATTCGGTAGGCTATCAAACTGCTGGTTTTTCTAGTTAAGTTTTTTTCTAGCTTTGAACATGGGCTTGGATAGGTTGGCTGGTTACCTGGTCCAGGGCACTCACACTATCCCGTGTAAGTGCAAACACAACCCACCAGCTTAACAAAAAGAACGTTCGTACAATAAATAACAACAGATCTTTTCGTGTCCCGGCAGTGTGTAAGAACATTCCGGAGCGCTTCAAGATTCACGCGTCGGCGAGCAGTGAATGCCACCTACATGTGCTAGAGGCTGTTCACATTGCCAAGTTATCGCCACAGCTTTGTACAAAGAAGGAATATGTTAGGGAAAGAGTGCTATGCGGACTTCCCTCCTTCATGGTATAGCTCTTCTACTACAGTGTTTGGCATAACTCACACCATCATGTGTACTGATTCGAAAAGTAAAGGTACGAAAGGCCTCTTCAGGTTTACAACCGGATTCGTCTTTCTCCTTCCTTTCTGATTTTTTACCGGCACGTTCGGGCTCTCCACCTTCTCCGTGAAAATAAAATAAAAAACATATTGTGCTAATAAATAGTAACATAAAGTACAAGGTCTAACCGAGTATGGCCGTCTTATAGTTCAACTCAAAGCAGCCACGAAACCATAAAAAGTAGGCCTTGCATGTAAAGGCTGAGCAATGGTGTCAGAAGAGCGTTTCACATAAGTCTCAACGATATTTAAACAACAATGTCAGTTTGGTCCTGCTATAATTTGCAACGATAGTATTTTCACAGACGTAGGTCATGTTTCCAAACCAAGTTCAGGGGCTTACCTTTGGCACAAATGAAGGGTTTAGGTTGGTCAGTTAGCTCAGCCGTGCTATTGTGGGTAGAAATGTTAAGAACATCTTTATCCCGATAGTTGTCCAGCCAAATATTTGTTATACCTTCATCTAGCATAGATTGCAGTGCGCCCTGGCAGTCAAATGATGAGAACAGTGCAGTCACAGTTTATCAGAGCGCATATTCACAATTTCAGTGGTGTTTGTCCGGCAAAATACAAGCTATTTATTTCTTACAATCGACGTTGAGATACCAACACACTGTCTCACCTAAATGTTTCGCACAGGTGACATTCTCCATAATTTGCATATTTTTGTATGAAGACATGAGGACCAAGGAACTACAAGTTCCACTAAAATGTCCACTAAAACCGCCAGTTACTTAACAATCAGCTCATACGATAGCATTACACGACACTGACCGACGGTACTGACATTCTACTTGTACACCTAACTGACAATCAGCTCTAGTACATCTTCGATTCACACTCCAACAGCCTTCCAACTTGGAAAATTTTCCTTGGTCCTCATTTCCTCTTATGAATTAGTCGTTGGCTCTCCACCCGAGTTTATTTACGGTACTTATTTTAAAACATTTCTTTTCTTGTATTCCCTATTGTCATGTATTTTCAAAATGATGATCATCAGAATAGAACGTTCTTTGAAACCTCAAGAAAAACGTTTTATTTTATTTTTATATTTCCTCAGTAGTAGTCAGTACTCGAGTTATAATTTAGTGTTGGCTACTATCCGTCAAGTGTGCGGCCGTGCCCATTGAAATTCCACAATCAGCATATCCATGCTACTTGAGTGGCGGTATAAACAGTCATCACACATGAGAACGCTTTAGGAGTGCATGCAACTGCGGCTGGTTGCATCAAGCACATACATGCGAGAACGCTAGTTTTTACGCTTTATATTCTTACGTTGTAGCACTCGGACTTTCTCAACCGGTTGTGATCTTTCATCTTCAGTCTCCGTAAGTCCTGCCCATGACATACAGCCCGGGTCTCTCGGTAAGTCAGTTTGTTTGTATGTATACTTATGTTATATCCGCCGCATAAACCTGTAGCGAAAAACACAACACGAACATACGGCATTCTTCAAGTTACGCAGAGTGCATCACTATGAGCATAGAACTGCCCACCAGGTCTATAGGAACCCTAAGCCACTATACACGTTAACCTTGGAAGCCTACTAAAGCCACAATTCAGTCTACGTTTAGAACCCTAAGCAACCAGCTCTTGCCTCTCTCTCAAGCCCCCCCCCCCCCCGACCAGCCCATGTTCGACCCACTCGTCTCTCTCTCGTCCGTCTCGATATGCATAACGACCAGCTTGAGACAGGGTTACCTGTCAACAGCCGGGAAAGTTGCCATAGAGCCTTCCACGCCTGTGCTGTCCCTGTATGGAATGCCCTACCTTCCGCCGTCCTCAACCAGCCACTTGACTGGAAACGGCTGCAAAGTTTCAAAGTGTCTGTCTTCAGGCACCTCCGTGCTCAGCAATGGCACTGGGCCACTGACACTCTGTAATATGTATACATCTGCCTACACACTGCTGCATATTGCCATACGCCTTGTGCCCTGCTTACTCCTTTTCTCTGGATCTGAATGTACACCCCTTACGCATTATATAATTATACTAGATTTAGTTCTCTCCCCCTCTCTTGCTCCCCAACCCTCCCCCTTTCTCTCTCTCTCTTTCTCTCATCTCTCTTTCTCTCTCTCTCTCTCTCTCTCGCTCTCTCTCTCTCGCTCTCTCTTTCTCTCTCTCTCTTTCTTTCTCTGACTCTCTCTCTCTCTTTCTCTTTCTTTCTTTCTGTCTGCTATTGGCGCGCCTGGTTGTGATGAGGCCGAGACCCAAGGTCGGCAGAGCATCCCAGACCACGCCACCACTCCCCTTATTCATGGCTCACACATGACAGGTTTACGCGGCTCTAGTAAAAAAATATAATAAAATAAAAACATCTACAGTAACTGTCTGTTAGTTACAAGGCCCCGAGACGCCATGGCTAACTGCACTCTAGTTGGAGAACCCTGAACCAGCAAGTAACACACTCAGTACACCAGCACCGGACACCAATGGCTGTGGAGCTTAAACGTGAAGTAGGTTCACGAATTTTACCGATCATCAGACAGCGACATTCACCATCTACTAAACAATTTGCGTGCGGGACTAGATATGAAGTGATTGTGGTGAAGTGAATACGTATGTGCGAGGTACAAATCTCCTAACACCCAATAAAATTTGGCAGATTTCCACCTCCGTGCTTCATCCATTTGTGTTTATTCCACAACAGCACCATACATGTCAGTCACATTGCTGCGCCTTTCTCCTCATATCTGTATGGAAACAGAACTAGCAGGTTCCTTGCTTAAACGTCATCCGAAGCCCCGGTTATAATTATAATATTAAGCATATGCGCAAACAAAGAAAGCAAGTACACCTACCTTCGCATTGGTAACCACCGTTGGTATTCTTACACGTATATCCACTGGGACAGAGGTCTATGCCGGTAGTTTCCGCCTCTTCGCATTCGTTTATCTCTAGAATGCAAATAGTGCAAGATATGCATATTGTTAGGTTTGCGATGTTCATTAGAAATCACATTATCGCCATCAGATCTCAAGTTTTGGATGCGAACATTGAAAACGGTTTTATGCCAGATGGGCATCCGCTTTTTAGTTTGAATCTCTATAATTATAGGAACAGAAATCCTTCAATAAGCCAAACTTTAATGTGAAAAATAGCTATCCCAAGTCTAATCAGCACAGTTTCCCACGATAATATGAGCTATGACATAGCGAGGAGGTGCACCTACCTTCACATGTGTAGCTTCCTTTGGTATTCTCACACGTGTATCCATTTGGGCACAGGTCTACTTGCCTAATATCCGCATCTTTGCATTCATTAAAATCTAAGAAACCAATACAAATAGAACTTAACTCGGACACTGAGCCAATAAATATAATTATAATTGAAGAAATCACATGGAAACGAGTTATGAAAGAACTATCCACGACTGAAACAAGATAATGGGCAGTCAGAAAGTGTGATAACAGGACACATCACTGACATGTTACTAGACATTCAACGCCCTGAGACCTAGCTCTAACGCACCTCCAGTGCGCAAACCAACAGCCTTCCACCTTGGAGGGTTCAGGCTTCTATCTTAATGAAAACATGGAACAAGGCATATCCTTCGTAAGGCTGGTAACCTGTATTCCAAATAAGGTTATATCAACGTCAAATTTCGTCGGCTTGAATGTGAGAAGCCTCGTATTTGTTCCGCTCATTCTGATAGTTTGCGCAAACTGGAGATCCCGCTGCGCAATCCAAACCTGACGAAACTTTCCCCCAGTTTCAACCGGCCCTGGAACCACAAGCAGCTTTCTTAATGCTGGTATAGGATTATCCTAAATCCGGACGACTGACGGTGTTGTTTCTATTTCAAATAGTGAAAATAAATCGTGATAATGACTGCTTGTGAATTCTGGGAATTTTCAGATTGCCCACACGGATTCACTGTACTCGTCGTGTTTTGAACGAAATCCACAGTTTGCGCCACAGATTGCACCCAAACACGGATTTTCTTTGGTCTTCATTTTTTCAACGTAACCCACAGATTGCGCCCCAAATAGAGTCGCTGTGCTCTTCACTGTGGTTTTCAACGAAAAACACAAATTTGCGCCCCACACCGATTCGCATGCACTTCATGTTTTGCAACAAAATTCAAAGATTGCGCCTACAGATTGCGCCCCACATTTATTCCACGTCCTCTTCAGGTTTTCAACAATATCCACAAATTGCATGACCCACACACGTAAATTTTGCACCACGCGCACTTGGGTGTGTTCCTAGATGTCTCACAGTAGCTCAGGGACACGGATTTATCGTGCCACACTTACTTTTGTGTCACCCCAGATTGCACGCACAATCTGCAGATCGCCCAGGCAATTCGGAATCTTCACATTCAAATTTTCAAGATGCCAGTTTGCCTTAGGAATCTCCAAGAATGCAACAACACCAAGAAGAAAGACACACTTCAGTTGATCGAGAGGCTGAAGTGTGTCCTTCTTCTCAGTTTTATTATGCCAACTCTCATTCCAATTGCCTGTAAAGCAAGGTACTGGTCATGTGGACGCATAATCTGCCATAATGTACAAGTATATTTGGTGGCCCTGGGAAGTGGATTTAAAACATAACAAAAAACTTGAAAGAAGTAAACAGATTTCCCCCTTCATCATCCCCGGCTGACTTCTGAGACACAATCTCACATTGTGGTTCCAAATCACAGGTAAAATAGGCCGGGGGCCCCGATGTGATATTGCAACAAACTTCAGCCTTGATGGGGCTTTTTTGTTCAGAAAGCAAATGGGGAACTCTTACCTTTTGCACAGATGAACGGTTTAGGCTCATCAGTGGGCTCAACCATGCTGTTGTAGGTGGAAATGCGGAGAGCACTCTTGCTACGTAAGTTGTCCAGCCAAATATCGTCTATGCCTCTAGATTGGAAAGGTTCTAGCACACTCTGTGAATCAAAGAAGACGAAGAAACTATAAATAGCTACGAAAGTTTTCTACAGAGTTAAAGATGGTCTGAAGGGGGGGGGGGGGGGGAATGCACACTGCAGCTTCTTCCATATGTTTAAAATGTCACGAGAATTCCTTTTAAAAGTGTAATACATATCAGCCTTCTCTTCATAGTATTATATGTATCTATTATTGCACGATTAAAGAGGTCAATATATGAAATATAGAACGAGTAAAAGACCGAGGTCCCCCGAGGTCTTTTACGAGGTCTATATTTCATATATTGACCGATTATGAGGGCAATAATAGATTTATCACGACATAGCATACCTAAAACTGTTTTTGCTTTGCTATAGGAAGAAAGGAATACTATTGTAATAGTACATGTATAATAGTATGTACATATGCCGTTTACATTGGACATTACTTCTGTGTAAACCGAAGTTTTCAGTTGTCTCTTGTTGTATGTTCCCCAAGTTCTTTGACTGGGAATCTGACAGTTTGGGTTCAAATCCCAACATTTGGCTTCAGATTTTTCTTCTTTCAGTTCTGATTTTCTTCTAAGTTGAGGAAAAAGTTCTAAGTCCTCGGGCTAAGTGGTCAATAATAAGTGGTCAATATAAGCGGTCAATATATGCTCATATTTGACCGCTTAGAGATCACAAGTTTCTGTGGGGGTCAATAATAAGAGAGTGATAAATATATATATAGCTAGGCTCACCGAGTGAGATACAAATTCACACGTAGGTTTAGACAAGTCGTCAACAACGCGTTATCTATGTGCACTGCAACCTTACGTCATCCTCTGTGTGGATGGGCGGAAATTAATTCCTTCCGGCTATCAATACGTTCCTATACTCTTGCTTGTACTTCACCGTAACAGAAAGGCTTTAAAAGTAAACTCGATAAATGTTTTCAAAATGTTGTGGTTCAAGAGTCTTACGTGTGCACTCTTTCCTAGTGTTATGGTTCTTCAAGGCGCAATCAGGCTCTCACTTTTTTCATACACAGTCTTTCTTCTCTCTTTCTCCCCCATGGTGCATGATGTGTGCCTTGATCCCGAAACTATTGGTCGGGGAGCGCACTTCACCTCACAGCTTTATAGCACGGACACGCCCTTTGTAGTCCCCTATGTTCTCTTGCTGTTGTTTCAAATTTTTATTCTCACGTCGTGTTGTTGTTGTTGTTGTTGTTGTTGTTGTTTCAAATCTCTATTCTCTTTTTGTTGTTGTTGTTGTTGTTGTTGTTGTTGTTGTTGTTGTTCGCTTCCATTCTTGGCGATATGTGTGATCCCGTTAAGCAATAACTTTGTGCATCATTACCTCATTGGCGCTCATTATTGCGCCATCCCGTATTTCAAGCGTCAGTATCAAATAGGTGATTTTCCAATCATTTTACAATTCAACTTTCTCTGATGAGTTTGCAATGACGGAAACATCTGTCAAAAGGAATACCATTTCAATACTAAGGAACCAGTTTTTCCTTTTGTGAAAAGTAGAATGTTTGTCGGCCAAAGAGCGCAACAGTGGTGTCAACTCAGCATTGTCAACGTCTGAAAGCTGCTGCTTTCTGTCCAATTATGTATTACCAAGAGTACATAACCCCCAGAGTGTGCAACGCCTGATCCAGCTCTGCATAGGGTCTTGGTCGAATGTAATCGGATCTTCTGGGGTCATGCGTGCACTCCACACGAGCGCAACGCCGGTCTAGAGGCAGGGCATCGTTGCTTTTGATCCGCGACTCCCCGGGGGATTCCCCTCAGATCTGTACAGCATTATGACGCAAAGATCCAATTACGCTCAACAAGGACCCTATGCAGAGCTGGATCAAGCTTTGCACACTCTGGGGGTTATGCACTCTTGGTATTACTCCCCCCTTATCATCTGAAACCTAGACTCGTTCGAAAATACTTACGCTGTAACATGTTGACCTTCGCAAACGATTGTGATCTTTGATCCTGAGCAGCGTTAACTGCTGCCGAGAGCAGACTGATCGAGCAGATTTGTAATCCGTCGGATCCAAATGGCTACTGATGTTGAATCCGTTGCAGTATAATTCAGAAGCTGGTTCAAGAAAACGAAGCAAAAACGGTAATTTTTGATTTGCGCAAAAGTACGTTCATTGGACGCACTGCGGTTTTTGTCAAACAGAAAAATCAACTCAGATGGAGAGCCAATGTTTAATTTATACGAAAGAGAAAGACCAAGGAACTACAAGTTACGCTATACTGTCCACTAATACCACCAGTTACTAAACAATCAGCTGATGCGATAACATTGCACGTTGATAACATTGATTGTTTAGTAACTGGTGGTGTTAGTGGACAGTATAGCGTAACTTGTAGTTCCTTGGTCTTTCTCTTTTTAAATCAACTACAGAATAATTTTTGAAACTCGGATGTTGATCCAATAATAAATGTAGAAAGGAATGGGACATAATTATGGATACGAGTTAAGAGTAACTGTCCAACACTGCAACTAAATACTATATACAGTCAGAACGTGCAACAACTAGGCACACAACTGATAATGTACTGAGACATTCGACGACCTGACACCTAGCTTTAACATATCTTCATTGCACTTTTTGACTGTATACAGTAGAGGGATTCTTAGTGACTTCTACAAAACAAAAAATTGAGCGAAGTTTCGCGACAGGCCTTGCGAAAATGTGTATATGAATTTTCGCAAGAACTTTGAGTTCTGCACATTTTCCTAGTTTGCACGCGCCAATTGCACGTACACCATGACCCAATCTCACGAAACTTCCCACGAAAATTCATTTCGCTTTCCCTGCAAGTTTCGCGTCCAAAGTTGCGAACGTTCGTGCGAAGTTTCTCACTTCATGACGTGGAGTGAAAAATTGTGCCCATTTTCCTTTTGCAGAACTTCTCTGCTATCTAAATGTAGTTACAGTGGTGGACAGTTACTCTTAACTCGTATCCACATGTCCTTTCATTTCTACTTAAGTAATTTTTGCTACATGATATCAAACTCTATAAGAGCAAAACAAACCGACGTGACCTCGAGGAATTATTTCCGAATAAAATGTTTCGGAATGACGCAAAGGGCAGATCGCCTGTCCAGGGATTCACCACTTGGAAAGACGTGTACTTAGTATGCAGTATAATATACCGCATACTAAGTACACGCCAAATAGACGTTGCACTCCCTTTATTCAATACATATTATGAATTGATTAAAGGGAGTGCAACGTCTATTTGGCGGACAGGACAAAGGGACGGGAATTATGTACATGGTGTGGGAAGACTGGAGAACCAAGCGCAATGAACCAAGTGATTTTAAGCAGCAACAACATTGGCATTAAAGGCTGGCCCTGATATTGTGAGGCTGTAGACCGGAAATTCCGGCTAAATATATTCACAACTCAGATGGTGATCCAAGGAAAAAAGTTTTAACATGGAAATTGTGGGCACAAGTTTAGTATCTGGTTTAGTTGGTGGACTCGATCGCATAACGTGTACCCACAATTTCCATGTTACACAAATTCATTCACTTAATCTCACCTTCAATTTCGTATAGTAACACTAGTGCGCTTACAGCCAGCAACCCGAACACTTGTAGAAGTGGCAGTTGCATACTGTAGGTAGCACGTGACATGTTTGCCTGCAAGGGACAAATGCCAAAGTACGAACGATATCATAACACTGTACGTTATATAATTTTACATCGCTAGTACCCAAAACTGCTTCACTTCTACGAACACTAATCTTTCAGCTTACGCAAGCATACTCGACGAAAAGGAAGATAATATCCATGGCATAAACACTTGTATAGGATGTAATGCACTGGAAATGTGCACTAGTTTTAGAGTACTAGACGCGGGCTAACACAGGCTACAGAACTCTTACCTTCTATCGATCAGGAAGTTCGTCTCCTTGAATGACTGGAAATGAAAATTCCGCTACACAAAGAAAGCGACTGAAGCACTCTTGACTAACATGCATGGTTTTATCCTGCAGCATGGCCATGCTATTAAGCCAAAAATGGATGTTTTTCTGAATGGTGTTCGACACGGATCTGCACTTCTTGTATTTGGCATATCATGTTAGGGCAGAGGCAGGGACCACCTTTTTCGGCTCTCGCAAACCTCAGAGGAATACTAGTATTCCCCTTCTCACCGAAAATAGGTAGGGCTTTGCCAAATACGGGCCAGGCTTTGCTTTGCCGCCATGCCTTGTCACTTGACCGTCTGCGGTCGGGGCGAAATCGACTTCAGCGAACCGCAGGTGGCAGTGCGCCGCAGCGCCGGCGCCGGCTTCTGAAGTGTAGGCAAATAGACACGTTGTACCTATCGGCAACCCATGCTGTGACAATATTCTAAATATGGTGTTCATAATGGCCACCACCCCCCCCCCCCACACACACCCCCTTCAGGTCTTGCTCTGCCGTTAAAGGTCTTCTGTTGGTTCCACATCAGCTACAGCGCAACGCAGGTGGTAGTGCGCCGCAAAAGGACGGCTGGTGAGAAAACGCAGCAGCATTATCGTAATTTGTAATTTTTATTGTTTAAGGATTCCCCAAAGGCTTTCGTCTATCGAGGGGGTTTCCAAACTTTCCATAATACCAAATCTGTAAAAGAAGTGATGAGCAATAGGTGAGTAAAGAAAGAGAAAAAACATAGGCTTATAAGTAGCATGATGATACAGTTTTTCTGGCATTGCCGGTAGCATTATCCCGCAAAATAACTTCCATTATCCGCCCAGGCCTAACGCGAACAAGCAGAATACTAATAATAAACCTGAGTCAACAACCTTGAAGTTTGGCGATCATGTTGTGAAGCAAACTACATGTATTCAGATAAAGGCGTACCTGGATTCGGTCTTAAGTACGTATCACGTGACGTTATCAGCTCAAATCAAAAATGAAGTCTAATGAAGTCTAATGAGCAACAAAGCTTTTTAAATCGGCCCTGACACCTATCTCCAACAGATCTCCATAGTGCGAAAGAAAACACAACCAAATTGGAATGCTCACGAGAGGCCAAAGAGGGGAAGGTTGATGGAACAGGAATGAGCATTATAGCAACTATTCGAGTCTCCTGATACTGCATACACATTACAGGATGAAGAGGAGACGAGATCATATGGTCTTTCGATAAAGGTGAACGTCCGCGGCTCGAAAGTTGTAAATCTGGACTTCGGACATGTGTTAGCGCCAGGTGTAATGTTATTGAAAGTGATCAGTGACACATGGTAACGCCAGGTCATGACTGCTTGCATGTGTTAGCTCGCGGCTAAACGCAGGCCCATCACACTCGTGTATTGCACATGTATCTGTGTCTTTTTTCCCTATTTGTTTCACTTTCTGACAGTATATTGTCCGGTTGCATCTTTGGAACTAATTATTATGCTCAAAGTTCGTTTTCATAATGTCCCATCTCCTTCCTACAAGGATTCATAATAAGAATCTAAAGAGCAGTACATTTCTTTGGTGAGAATTCAACGGCTTCATTCTGTGCACTCATATCAGAGCTATCGGACACTCTGTAGGATGAATTGGAGGCACGTTTTCGTGTCGCAATCTGTAACGTGGCAAACCGGATGTTAAAAATACTCCGAGGCAGGAGTGCTTTATACGGGTGTACAGGTACTTCTGCTCACAAAAATAGGGGGTGGAATGAATTCACATCACGCAGTGAGCCCTGTACTACTCCGGGCGCATTTTCGCTAGAGTAAGACTTGAGAAACTATATATAGAGCGTCAAAGTCAATTATAGAATGCTATCAGCAGCATGGACATCATTATGCGTTGAATATCCTGTTTAAAGTGATGCTGCCTCAAGAGCAATTTTCTAGCCCCATATTAGGCAGAACAGGATCACTGCCTAGGCCCTCAACTTCATCTCCTAGGCCCCATGATCCTATCTACCGTATTTGGAATCGATTGCTGCAAGCCCATGTTTGGACCAACACCAGGAAAGACAAGAATTATAAAACAGTGATAGTGAAATAGTCGTCCCAGTTCTCCTTGCTCTTCGTTGGGTAAGGTTGGTGTACTGATCTGTCTACTGCCATCCCTTCGGGCAGCGATCTGAACCCCTTGCTGAGAAAGGTAAAACGCCTGAATTATTGCCATACTCTGGGGTCGGTGCATCTTGTATGGCTTCCTCTTAACTGTGGCCTGGCATAATAGCTGTTAGATTTTTTCAGTGCGCTTATGAACATTGATGGATGTTTTGTTGCATCGCAAAATTGGTCTCACTGTTGTGCAGCATAATTGTTCGCTATTATATAAATATTCAATTGTGTTATGATACGTTACGGAAATGCAAACTTTCTTTTTCTTCTCTTTCAAACGTAGAAACCACATTTCGCGTTCCTGTTTCAACATGCGAGTGCCACTTCTCCCCGTGCTGGTGTTAATCTCCTTGGCCGCCATGGCTGTGCTACAGGAATGTGAAGGTGAGAATGCCAATTGGTTCGAGGCGCCAATATCTGATAACTTGCTGCTGCTAAAGGGTGGTAAAACCCAGTGCAAGTGCAATACTACAATGTATGTTGGCTGATAATGTGCATATGGGGTGTTTGTGTTGTGGCTTGACTACAAGCTTATCACCATTTTATTCGACTTGAAAAGTATGGTACGAAAGGTCTAGTTTAAACTATAATAATCATTATGGCATCTGTGCTGCGTTTGCTGATTTACTACATGTATATGTATCTGTAAATACAATGATACATTCAGAATTGTTGACGAAACAACGCCAGCTGCGTAAAATGACAGATACGATGTGCCCATTATGATCTTTCTCCACAGCGAGGAAATTTTTCTGTGACGGATTCAATGTTAGCATCAATACCAACAAACTTTCGTACGGAGGTGCGCGTAGCGCGTGTTCGGAACAGAACATAGGGCTTCTTAGAATCAAAGAACATAACTTGCTGAAAAAATCCCAGTGCTACAAGGTAAGAATTTAGCATGTCTAAAAGTTCTGAAAACATTCTGCACTCAATCACTCTAATACCAACACCCTCATCAAACCAATAAGGCACTCACATGCATTCGTTTGTCAAGGCACTGTGGTTATTAGATATGTTTAATTCGGTCTGTAGGACTGCTATCAGACACTAAGTGCCATGATGAGAATTTCCTGTTCACTCCCAACGTCATGCACTATCGTTTGTTCTACAATCCATTCATTGGAAACTGGCACCCTAAATTTTTGGTGTCTCCCGCACATAGTTGTAGATATCGTGAAAACAACAGTACAGCCTGCATTGTGTGACCCTTGCAATTACATGTACTCCTTGCCACAGTTGAGGGCAGAAAGGTCCAGGAACTGAGAAATAGAAATTCAGCCAGGTTTTACAAAATTAGGACAGGTATGGCATGGCAAAATGTTTGGAAAAGCAGATCCCAAACCCAGATTTCTTCAATTTAAAATTGGAGTTTTGATCCTCAATTCGGCCCAAATCGGACTTAAAAAGGCTGCGGGACTGTTTCCGGTGAATGGACTGTAGGCTTTGTGTTATAGGCCGCCTAAAGTTCCCTCAAGAGATCCAAAATTATGTTGCTTGTGCGGTTGGCTTATAAATGCAGGAAGTACGTGCTGTTCCTGGCTTTTCCAGTTAGCGAAAGATTAACATTTTTTCAATAGCCCTAGAAATAGAGTCAATACTCAATACTGCCTTTGCAGTATCAAAATCCAAAAAAGGCATGATCCCTAATAGCAATGGAACCACTGTGCATGATAGACTTGAATGGAGAGACAATGATAACAATTTATTAAGACAGCGTTTATACGGAGACGAAACGAAACGAAATGAAACGGAACGGAATTGCCCTTGAATTGTTTTCAAACCATTTGCGCGAATCAACACGTTAGTTGCAGTTTTCTAGCTCATGAACGCTGTTTTGAGCTCTTGGTTTGAATATTGTCCACACCATACATGTTTATCATGTATATTGCCGCGCAGATTGGTTTCCATGACCGCGCTCCTTTTCCAATCGTTTTCACTGTTTAAAATAGAGCGGAAGCGTTTTGAAAACATTTCAAACTACTTTGAAGTGCGTTTCCATTTTCGTTCGGTTTCGGGTGCGTTTTCGGCATTTTCGTGTTAATGATAGTAGTAAACGCAACGATTTCTTTCCATTCCAGTCGCTCTTCGTTGTAACCCAGCCGAAGACGCGGAAAGACCATAGCTTTCTAAGTTATTGTCATATTGAGTGCGTTTAATAGATTACCCACATTTCGATCAATTTTAGAGTTAGTTATAGTGGATGCACCGTTCGGTTACACGTAAATCTCTCTACGGATTTCCGTAGGAAAGCTGTTTCCTACGTTGGGTCCTCCGTAGGACTTTTTGAAATATATTTCGCGTTTTCCGGATTTGTCCATGCCATGCACGGCAACGTTCAAGCCGCGCGAAACACAAGGTACACACACCGTACACCACGTGCAAAATAAAAGGGTAAATGCGGTTTCTGTTCGTAGTGCATGCGGTGGGCGCATGCAGCCAACGTGTCTGCAAAGCAACTACGCATGTTTAGTAGTCGTTGAGAAATCACGTAGAGTGAAAGTCAACAGGGAGGTTCTGCTATACGTGAAACGTAGGGAAATCACGTAGAGAGCAGATATCTGGGTTAGAGTCTACGGCTTTGCGTGTTTTGGGTCCAGGTTTCCACGCGTAGATGAGGTTCTCTACGTTGTGGCACACGCACAGAAAATGCGTACGGATCTGCTGGGTATCATTAGGAGTGCAGGCCGAAATTTGCCAGATATGGAAGGGGAAATTCCCAGTACACATTCCACGTGACTTCTCTACGTGAACGTAGAGCAGAACAGCTTTTCTTTACTTTACGGGAACGCGAAGAGACTTCCCGGGCCTACGTGATTTCTCTGCGTTTCACGTATTATTATTATTATTTATTGCAACATCTCAAGACTCGGCGGAAACACCGGCCAATATTACGAGAGTG